CGGCATTTTTGGGAGGAAAAAGTGGGCGGAGTTTGGTGGGTTGAGTGGTACCAGAATTAAATACTATAGAGAGGAATATGGTGGTCGGTCGAAAAGGGGGTCGTACCAAGTCCACCTTGGGGGAGGGGGGTCGTAAAAAATTTTGAAAAAGTAACAACGATAGGACTGACCCTGCCCCCACATATCCCTTTTTGAGTCCTTGCGATTACTACTGTGGGGCGATATACGTCGCGAGTGTTGTGTTCTGGGACAGGAGGAAAAAGGAGGTGTAGAGGTAGGAAGTAAATAGATAATATCCTTAGGAAATGTTTGTAATTGTAGAACTTATTGGTTAACTTTGCTTGACCATTCTTCGGACTCACCTCGAAAGGTTCTGTAGATGATGCTTGTATTGTCATCTCACCGGATGTTTTACCACCGTCCACACAAGTACCAAGAGTACAAAGACGGACCATGGCGTGCTCCGATCTGTCGTAATGGATACATGATAATTTGAAAAAAAACGTCGTAAAAAAAAGAAAAAGAAAAATGCCAAACTTAAATACATAGCCTTTGGATGGAACTAGGAAGCAATACATTAAATTTGGATGACACAGATGGAGAAAAGCGTTTTGGGAGACACATGCCCTCTTTCTCAGAGTTCCTTTGGAGGTCTTCGAACTCTCCTGCAGGGTGATCCAGTAGAGAAATTGAAGCATAGTTGACTTGATTGTGCAGGAGGAACGTAGGTTCGGAGAGATCAGCAGATGTATGGATTATAAAATCTGAGAGCCTTTACATTGGGAATTCATGTGCTCCAACGATTGCCGAAAAAGCACAGCTTAGCACACACCTGTTACGTACCGCCACAATTTCGGTTTTTTAAGAAGCAAAAAAACAAAAAAATAGCGGGAAGGTCGAAGGAAGCTGACGATGGTCGTAGATAAGGACCAAAGAGAGAAATTGAGTTGAATTTCCTTGACCCTATCGCTCACCCTGCTACCAGTTCTTGTATACAACCCTCAGATAATTCCTCTCGCACGACGAGTAGGGTTTCATACCGATTTATGCTGCTCGAGCCCTTACCAACCTCATATAAGTGACAGTGACGTTTGCATTGGTTGCGCATGGCACCTCCCTTGAACGCAGTACGGAGACTTTCGCACCTTCCAGCAGGAATGTGGCCACATTTCCTGGAAATGTAATATTTTGGAAGGCTGACGAGTACCGAAAATATACCACTCGAAGATATTGAAATTGAGAGCCTCTTTCTGGGGAAATTTCCAATTTGCAAGGCCGGCAGTACGAGAAATGCTGAGCGCCGATTTGAGACAAGATACTGAAGGAGGAGAGAGTATAGGGACGAGCGAGATGCAGACATCAACATGTTCGTAACGGTGCACGTCAATAGATGCATACGTCGTACGTGTGTACAGGTATTAGGAACTTAGAACTATTTTATTCGCGAATGTGGCGCTACATACCTTTGCTGTCGCACAGAAGAGGCTGCTCTGACGTGTTTTTTCTCTTGTCATTCTGCGCACAAGGATTCTAAGTGCCTTAACCAATTGAGCTTCCTGCCAACTCCAATTAGGGCTTGTCGGTTCGATTCCGTAAAAGTCTGGAGATTCGAAACGAAAAGTAGTGCAGTGTTCATTTGCTTTCGTTGGCAATAGCGAGCACTTGAATACATCAACCGCACATGTGCGGAGTGACGACAGGTTACGCCTCTGACTTGGTACAAAATTCACTTTTTGGGACCTCATGTCTAGAACAGAAGCTGTTCACCGTACTTCCGAAGGGAAATAGAGTGAAATATCGCATAAGTATCGCAAAGTCGTAGCAGAGCAATGGAGGGAAAAGCACATCGCTCACCTTTAATATCGTTGGGAACCGGGAACTTGAGGCTGTTCTTCGGTGCCACACCGTACGCCACCACGCCGTCGTCGTTCACCCACTGACTGCAGTAGTCTGTAGAGAAATCGCAATTCAAATCGAGTGCATAAGGAATGTTCGGACCAGGTCCTTGCTGTAGACCGAACAAGGAGACAATCTGAAAGGAAATTTGTACGGAGAAGTAGTGAAACAGGAAGGAAGCGCTATGGAAATTCAAAACCGCTCAAATTTGGCCACGACCGCTCCGTGATTCGGCGCGGAAACAATGACAAATTCCTTGATGGAAGAATGGCCAGGATTGAACAAATGCTCGCAAAGACTTGAAAATTCAAAGATTTCTTCAAAGAATTCAAAAATTTCTACCGTTGGTGGATCGATGGTGGTAACAATTGGTGGTGGCTCCTCAGAACATAGTAGACCTTTGAGATGCATATCCGATATCGCGACCAGTCCAATCGAGGCCTCATCGAATGCGATCATTTCCAGAGTGAACTGCAACAACAAGTCAAAGAAAAGCGAAATGCATGGCGCATCCTGGAGCGCGTGTAAGCTCCGAGATACACCAAATACATGGCGCATATCGGAGTTAACACTCAGTCCGGGATGCGCCATGCATTTAGCTTCTGTTCAGAAGCGCAGTTGTTTATTTGGGTCAGGCAATTACGATTCTGAACAGAAGCCAAGGGCTGATCGATAGGAGTATTTATGCTTTTATTGTCCGCCGAAAGGGTACCACTGGACCGGGCTCTGACGATTGCAAGATTGGTTGGCTCGGATAAGGCACTGGAACTTCCGGACCCGGATGGACTTTTGGACTATATGTGTCACAGAGGATCCTAATTGTCACTACCCCTCCGCACACCAAACGCCCAAAAATAACACTTTCAGAGAAGGGAGCAGTATATAAAGCTACGATTGCTGACTCCAAGGCTATCTGAGTGCGTAATGGGCTTGCGCAGTGATCTGCGATGATCATAACCTATTAAAGCTAAAAGGTGTATTCGATTTTTTACACAACTTATCTGCATTACGGGAAGTAAAGCTCGACTATCATAGACCGGATTAGATCTTAGTGAACATCCATCTATGCAATCACTTTCTGCCAAAGGTGCGCGCTATATGAAACTGCTGTTTTTGTCGTCTCAAAACTTACCCTGAAAGGTCGATCGTACGGATCGACATCGATTTCAATTGGTCCTGGTGAGTCTTCTTCGGTTAGGTAAGCACAGCTGAGCATTACACCTTCGGTATCCACAGCGCATATTTCGACTTGAGTGCCAGCTTTGAGCCAGTACCTGAAGAAAACTCGCGTTATTAGATATAGTAGTGACTTAATTCAATGTAAAAACTATCGGAATGGAGGAAAGGCTATTCAACAAGAGTGCGCTGACTTCATAGAAAGTGTAGTTGTAGCTTGTGTGCATGGGATCAGTTCACTGCGAAGAGTAGCGTAACGTCGAGGTGAAAGCGCATCGACGGCCAAAAATAGAAACGACGATGTTGGATGTGACTTGTCGAGTGCAGACAGCTGAAGGTTTGCTCTTAATCTGACATCAACAATCAACATTTCTCGAAAGAAATAACGGGCGCTATCGCAAGATACGGGCGCATCCTCTAGACCAAATCTGAGAAGAAGAAACCTGCGGAACAATGAACATGGCGACCACAACCACAGCTCTGCCCTCGTCTCTCTCGCCCGCTGATGCTAAGCGCCGATTTCCCATACAGGAGATGCTTCTGGGGTTTTGGATGGAATTGCCAACAATGCCCGCGTAATTTGCTTTAGCTCGAAAAAACTTTTCTGGACGTGAAAGAAATCGCTTCCACAATAACGATTAGCGCCTAGGGTGCCTGAGCCGTGTGTTTATGCTCTAAAAAATCAATTACTTGTTTGGAAAAGCAAACCTCCATCAGTTCGTGCACCCTTTCAATATATGAACGACCATCGCATTCGACCACGTCCGATACAGCATTGCTCCAATCTGGAATTTCTTTATATTTCCCTCTTTCGTCTGTTTTTGATCGATTTTTCCTATTTTTAGATCACCCGGGCGGAAGTGGTGTAGTGGCAAGTGGCGCGCTTACCACGCGAGCGGTCCAGGGATCAAATCCTGGGTCGTGAGTCGCCCGGGCCAACCAAGCCTTCCATCCCTCCGGGGTCGGTTAATTGGTACCAGACTTGTCTGGGAGGATAAAAACACTGAAAAAACACTGACTTGTACATCGGCTGGCCCCCGCAAGTCATTGTATAGGCCACATCGCATTCAAACGCCACTACGAATGTACAAATGGAAGTAGAATGCGTGCCGCATCCCAAAAAGGGATTGATCAACGGCAAATGCTTATCCTTTTATCACCCACTCTGCCGTTCTTTCCCCCCCCCCTCAATTCTAACAACGTCTGAGACAAAAAGTAGCTACGAGAATCAAATCCTGCATTTCGAATTCCCGATTATACTGTAGAAATCTTGACCTGCATTTCTTCTGCGGATGGTCGCAGTCCAAATCAGAAAGCTTCTCGATTGGCTTTGGTGATTTCGGCAGCAGTGGCTTTGAACCGAATATTGACGGGAATGCTCAAATGAAGAAATATTAGCAATGAAAATTAAACTCAAAATAAAATAGAAATATTAATCGAAAAAAAAAACGTTTCAATATCACAAAGAAAGAAGTGAGGTAAGAAAGGTTGCCTTACGTGATTCTCCGCATATCATCGCATCGTATGTTATGTTTTTCAGAATTACCATACTGCCGACTACATTGTCCTGAAAGCATCGCTCTGAACCATTTCAAAGGTTTGGCTAAAATTAAATCCAACGGTCCAAAAGGGCGAATGTTCAGTGGCAAGTGGCACGTCTACAAGACGAGCGGACGGGACTCAAATGCTAAGTTGCGCCCCGGCAACAAAGCTTGCATCCTTTCGTGGTCGGTTAACTTGTACGGCAGCCTGTGTGGCGTAAAAACACTGACTTGGACATCGGCTACAGGCGCAAATTCTAATTCCCCTTTGCACTCCATTGATCAATGCCAAGCAAGGCCGGAGACGGCCTTCGTTCTGCATAAACGCAAAGCGTCACGTTTCCGGATCAGCTGCGACGCGACTGCGCGCGTCGGCATCGCGTAAACACAGCCGTCTGGTACATGCAATGAGGTCATAGTTGCCGCTTACATTCAAAAAGCTTGCAAAAGTTCTTTCAGATATAGCAGTCCTTTTCCAGCAATATGATTTGCAGTATCAAAGGAAATCACAAGGAAAGAAATCGCATGGAAGTAATATAATAAGAAAATAACTGGAAAATATGAAAAAATTCGTGTGAGAGTCTGACCTGCAATACGAACGGCTGTTTACAGGAGGAATTTAGTCCCACACAGATATTTGCAGGACGGGAAGGGTATGGGCAGTTGATTTTCGGGCGAAACAGCGTCTACAAACAAAGATCAGGTTTCCAAACAGACGACAGTTTCCGAGAGCTGATCTTCCTTGTTGATTATTTTCGAGGTCCTTCACTGAAAGCTGATGACTCACCTGTAAATGTCGTCGACGATGTGTCGCTCGGACAACTATCACTTCCACTCGACCACTGTTATATAGCCAGTAGCTGAAATTAATGAAATTCGCAAGGGCAGGAGTCAATTCAGGTGTAGGGCAGCGCCACTTAGGTCTTTGTACAATTTTTGCTATCGAGCTACCCTTTCGTCGACCTGGCCAGTCTGCCGGGTTCTTCTTTTGAATTTGCTAGATAAGATCCCTAAAAATCTCACCGAAGTCCCGCGCGGCCGCGGAACGTAAAACACGCGCGGTCTCCAAAGTGTTAAAGAGCACATTCTAATCTATCAAAAGTTACATAACAGCCTTCTACACCGACGACATCAGAAGATTTTCCCACGGAAACATGGTTCACGGTACGAGCTCAACGAGGTCGTCGAGGTACCATAGACCATTACGACGTCCCTGAAACGCTGGTCAAAAGCGGTCTTGCATAGTCACAGCTAGTGTCTCTAAGAAGCTATTCACCAGTTAATCCATTGAAGAAATTATGTAGCAGCTTCAGGCCGGAGCGATTACGGTAAGCCTCGTTGAGCTCGACGGTGACGGCAGATGACGTCATATTCTGAAGACGGTGGGGCAGTGAAGGAGGGCCTGCTTCTGCTTATGGGGGGACACCTAAGGAATATTCTGCCGTAAAACATTCATCAACAACGGCATCCTGTGCGACGAAAAATTTGATGATGTGCGCCATGGGCAAAGTGACTCTTTTTTGGCTCCCCCCCTGTACATTATGTTCCACTTACAACGTCACTTTTCCTCCTCTTTCTACTGGCCACCAACAACCTGCTATGCAATAATGGGAACTCATCGGAGCTTCTTCATGTCTTTTGGCCCATCTGATTGCATATGTGTTTGATCCCCATCAAATTATAAAAATCGTCGCTTGAATCGCCTAGCGCTCTAACCACACATTTTGGATCACAAATGGGCGTTGTTTCAGCTCCGCACCAATTGTGAGATGTATCTTCGAGGCGCAGTCATAAGCTTCACTTACTGTTATTATTTTAGTTCGTCTAATCTAACGACAGATTTCTCCTCTCTTTCACCTCCTTACTGTTAGGCCGATGTCAGACTTTGCGAATCGCGCGATTCGCTAGCGTCTGCGGTCGCGTCGCGGCCAGTGAATCACTCAATTGGCTGGTACCGCAACGCGACCGCGGACGCTAGCGAATCGTAGGCCGATGTCATAGTTTGCGAATCGAGCGATTCGCTAGCGAATCGCTGGATCCGAGCGTTGCGCCAGCGAATCGAACGTTGCACCAGCGAATCGAACTTTGCGCCAGCGAGTCGAACGATGTACCAGCGAGTCGAACTAGGTACCAGCGACTCAATAGTGGCGGGACCCAACTTTCAAAGGAAGCCCGCCACTTTCAAACAGTGTCACGTGACAGTGGACGCTGTTTGAAAGTGGCGGGACTTGACAGTGGGCACTGTTTGAAAGTGGCGGACTTCCTTTAAAAGTTGGGTCCCGCCACTATTGAGTCGCTGGTACCTAGTTCGACTCGCTGGTACATCGTTCGACTCGCTGGCGCAAAGTTCGATTCGCTGGTGCAACGTTCGATTCGCTGGCGCAACGCTCGGATCGAGCGATTCGCTAGCGAATCGAACGTTGCACCAGCCTAATCGAACTTTGAATTCGCTAGCGAAATCGCTCGAATCGCAACACTATGACATCGAGCCTTAGTCTGACATGGCCTTTATGTACTGTCCCATTGGCTCAATATATAAGTAAATGTGTATATCACGATTTCATTGGATTTGCTTGTCATAAGTGGGTTTTCAATGCCATGATCATGAAAACTAACTGGAATGTCCATAAAAATGTTGGGCTGTGAACAAAACTTTCGCCTCAAACGGGACTCGAACCCGCACCTATTGCTCAACGGGCAAGTGCGCTGCCAGTGTGACGAGCAATTCTTGTGAGACATTCGCAAGGCGGACTGCGGCCAAAAACAGCTGTTAACAATCAAAAAAGGTAAAACTAACTGGAATGTTAAGTTGCCCGGTTTTCTCTGACAAGCAATGGGTGCGCTGACAAGAGAGGCACTGTCGGCTGTTGTTGAGGTGTTCCCGGCTAGTAGTAGATGAGACCCTAAACGAAAAACAAGTTTGAAGGAACAAGGCTTCAAAAGGCAGTTCATCAGCCCTACAGCACAGCTGTCACACAAAACTGAGCACTACATATCAAACCCAGGTCGCAGAAAGAGGTCATTGGACCAACTCGTAGGTGCGTTTATTCTTTTGTTCTCTCCATACAGCTTCTGACAGCAATACTTTACCAATGTTTGCCTATAGATGCATGAAGAAAGTGAGCAGTTGAAGGCACTCCTCATGATGAATTCGAACGGATTAACACGTTGACGACAGCATGACGCGCATGCGCGTCAGAATTTCACCCGATTCTGGCTAGTTTTTTTGGTTTATTTGGCCTTTTTCATATTTCAAAACTGTGTGCATGCGTTATCTTATCCGAAAAACTGTGAGTCAATTACCAGTAGTGGAATTATTGAAGAAGTTATGACGATTGTGAAAAAAATAAACAAAAAGTTGCCGAGGTACACGCATAAGGGGCTGTCGTCAACGTGTTAATCCCGTCCAGGGGTAGGATAGAGCTCTCCACTAAAGATGCAGATCTCACATCCTCCCGGCAGTGCGCCACAGGGCGGTAGGCCGCTTCGACCGCTTCCACTTCCCTTTCGCAACATGCGGGTGTCTGCTGTCTCTCACCCGTTGTGCTCTCTCAACTATCCCCTCTCCTCTGCACACAGTGTCCCATTACCTTATCACAGCTGACTACAAAAAATAATAAGCCTACAATTTCAACGTTTCCGAAAACAGTTGCTTTTCTTTCCTTTATGTAGTGGCCTATCTCGCAAAACTAATTTCATTTTCGCAAAAATCCCACCAGTCCGATCATCAGGTGTGCCTTCAAGGCAGTTCTGATAACGATAGCATGTAATAAGCGCGGGTAAAAGGCTTCCATAACTTCATTCAGCGATTCTTATAGCAGGTGAATGCGATACAGTATATTCCTTTTCAAATGGAAGAGTTCGCCAATCGATCATCCTTCGTAAGAGCAAAATATCACAAACCTTGTGCAATATCCGCTCGACCAGGCTGGATCTGGACCGGAAGAATTTTGTCGTCGGTCTTCTACAAAAATCTACAATCAGTCTCAATAGGGAACTAGATCTGCCCTACAACGCGCACGATTCCTTCAACGATGATCTGGGGCCGGGTGCAGCAAGCCCCGGTCAGGGCATGGGTCCCCAAAACTCTGTTTCGGTCGATGATGTAAACTTGGTGTTTAAGAATAGAAGGATGCGTCGAGAGATGCAGAGCTTTGAGGGGCCATCCCTCCGCTGGGGATTGCTGCACCCGGCCCTGGACTAGCGAATGATTCGCAACAACCCCTTTCAAACTAACCTTGAAATACCAGAAATCAGAAGTATCGAGCAGTCCGTCGCTAGGCGCATTCTGCCATAAACAATCGCTTTCCAAATCGCAATTGAGCGCTTCAGCTGAAGTTATGTAGGAGGAGAACTGCGATGGATCTGAAATATTCAAACATGCGATTTGAAATCAAGTCTTAAAACATGGTCTTTTATAGAATGGGGTTCACTGGTGCCTAAAGGCAGGGGGTGCGATATAATGGATGTTGAAGAAGGAAAATGGTCGTTATCGCAATATACGGGGCATCCTCTGGGACCAAGCCTACAAAGGGTCAGAGATGCCGGGAAATACGACAATGGCTGATAAACCTCTGGAACTTCTCCTCCCGCCTGAGGCTTAGTCCCGTTTTTAACAAAACGGACATGTTTTACGCGATTTTAAATGCACTGCCACCACAATGCCCCCTTATCTTGCGATAGTGCCAAG